GAGAGTCTGTGATGCCTGGGGTCCTACCATTCTCTACCCTCCATTCCCAGCTGCAGTGCCCAGTCCTCCACTGGCAAGAGCCTGGGATGGGGGAGAGCAGGCTGGGGGTGGGGCTGTACCTCCTGTGGTCTAGATGGGGACAGCTGTTGTGCCAGATGAAGGCCAGGGCTGGGGGGTGGGCATTGGTGCCAGGCATGGGGGCAGGGAGGCTCCTCAGCGGAAGAGGCTCTCAGCTTCTTCCTGAAAGCTGTCCCAGTGACTCACGGCCATGGGAGCCCAGTGCTCTACCCTAAATCCCTGCTACTGTCATTGCAACCTGGCTCCTCTTGTGGGGTTCTGAGCCAAGAGCAGAGGGGGTGGGCAGTTCACTTGTCACTCAATGACAGGGTCTCCATCTCTCAGTTTGGGAGGAGAACTGTCAACTCAGATAGAGAGAAAGGCCAAGGCTGAACAGACTCACTCCACCACTGTACCCTTGGGGAATATGAGACCCTGAGTGGAACAGGGACTTACCTAAGGCCACACAGCCTGCTCCCCTTCCAGAAACAGCCCTGCCATCACCCCTGTCAGCAGAGGCCAGGGTTCAGCACATCCCGACCTCGGCTGGATAAAGAAGGAACAGAGGCTGAGATAAGGACAGACCAGCTCTGTACCCCCAGATCACAGAGGGAATAGGGCCCCCTCAACGAAAGGCCAAGTCTGGATCAGAGCAGAATAGGATGCAGCTTCAGGTGCACCTCCTGTCCCCTCACTCACCTACACCCCTGACCTCCCAAACAGGGATCTGGCCCATGGCCAGTAGCTGGGCTCTTGGCGCCCCCTGCAGGCCAAGAACAGCAGGTGGGACTGGCTCTTTAGAAGACCCCTTCCAACAGCTAGCCCAGGCAGGGCTGAGGAGCCGGGCCAGGCCCACACACACACACACACATCCCCCGTCTATTCCCAGGCCCCAGCAGGACAGTCTCTGCACCCATGGACAGGCCCAGGAGATGAGGAATGAGGGGCTTGGGAGAAACTAGTCCATACTTCTAGGAAAGGGAGAGTATGCCTCCAGTGTGCCCCCTGAGGGCCAGATGTGCTCATTTCTCACAACAGCTCTCCTACTGGGGGGGGGAAGACTGGTGTCCCCCTCAGGCCACTGCACCTGGAAGGATGCTAAAAACTAGGTGCCCCCAGGTCTTGCCTGGTGTGGGGTCCAGGCACCTGTGTTTTCAATAAACCCCCGCATGGTAAAGTTCCAACCCACAACCCACCCACATGCCTGACAAATAGAATCCTACATACCTCCAGGGGTACTGGCCCTGGCCTGAGTCCTCAGGGTGAGCCATCCTAGCTCTTAATTCTCGTCCTTGAGCTGTGTAAGATACTGTCTCAATCCAAAGCCTGGGCATGTTGTGATTGTCAAGTGCTGTCGAATAACTTCTGACGCATAGCGACCCTACATAGGGTTTCCAAGGAGCAGCTGGTGAGTTTGACCACCAGGTTCAAATCCTAGCTCCATCCCTTAGCAGTTATGTGACCTTGCACACAAGGCCAAGTCCTTGACCTGCCTGTGCCTCAGTTTCCTCCTGTACAAAAAGACTTGCTGAAAGGATTAAACAATAATGTAAGTCAAGTGCCTAGCCTGGACCTAGCTAAGCTCCATGAAGTTTAGCTGTTCTTATTACCATGATCATAAAAATTTCTCCTATTTTAATAATGCTATGTACTTTTCCGGAGTCCTGGTATGGCACTGTGGGTTAATGTGCTGGACAGCAATGTCAGTTTGAACCACAAGGTTGGCGGTTCAAGCTCACCAGCCGCTCCTTGGAAACAGGGTCATTATGAGCTGGAACCAACTCAACAGCATTTAACAACAGCAATATGTACATTTTCCATTCAGTCATCTGTCATTCCTTGCTTCATTCGTTCAGCAAATAAATGTGGTCTCAGGTCCCACATATATCTGTCTTTCACCCACAAGACCCCTCTGGCTTCTGACAATAGCCCCTTGGCATAGGCAGGACCAGTGCTACCTTCCCTGTGCCACAGATGAGATGGTCCCAGAACGCCGTGACCTGCCAGGGACCACACAGACCTGTAGCACACAACGAGGACTCAAACCCAGCCCTCAGCCCTACCTCCACCACGGTCTTGCCTAGGACAAGAAAGTTACCACATGCTGCAGTAGCCTCACCTCTTACCCCCAGAAGGCCCCAGTTTGCTGGCCTGGGCAACTGAAGCTGAAGGGCGAGCAGGGGCCTCCACTTCCTCCCAGGAGTATGGGAAGGTCCTATTCCCTCTCTGGGTCTCAGAATGCTCACCTATAAAAAGGAGGGGTTTGGACCAGACTCCTGCCAGTGAACATTCCCTAAGTCTGTCATTCTTTATACTTTGCTTTCTCCCCAGAAGCATGGACGAGTGATGCTCAAACATATCTCCCCACTGGACATACGAGGAAGGTGGCGAGCTCTCTCCTCCCACCTCCAAGCTGTTGTTTTTGTTGTTAGGTGCTGTAGAGTCGGTTCTGAGCCATAGAGACCTTATGTACAACAGAACAAAACACTGCCCAAGCCTGTGCCATCCTCACAACCGTTGTACTTGAACCCATTGCTGCTGCCACTATGCCAGTCCATCTCTTCAGGTGTCTTCCTTTTTTTCACTGACCCTCCACTTTACCTATCATGATGTCCTTCTCCAGGGACTGCTCCCTCCTGACAACATGTCCAAAGTATGAGAGATGAAGTCTGGCCATCCTGGCCTCTAAAGAGCATCCTGGTTGTACTTCTTCCAACTCCTATTTGCTAATTCTTCTAGCAGTCCATGGTACTTTTAATATTCTTCTCCAACACCATAACTCAGATGCATCAATTCTTTTATGGTCTTCCTTATTATTCATTGTCCAACTTTCACATGCATGTGAGGCTACTGAAAACACCACACCTTCGTCTTTAGTCCTCAAACTGACATCTTTGCTCTTGAACATTTTAAAGAGGGCTTGTGCAGCAGATTTGCCCAATGCAGTGCCACCAGGCTGCCACCCCCTTTAGTCTCTGTATTTTCCATGTGCAGTTGACCTGCCCAGGGATGCAGGGGAAGAAGGATATACAAACTAAGGGACCATCTGAACCTGGGCTCAATGAAGGTCTGCCCTTACAAGCTGGGTAATCAGGAGCCAGGCATGTCACCTCTCTAAAAAGTAGCTTGTACTTAGAAAGTGCTCAGTAAATACAGGCCCCCCCCTTCCCTTGACATGGGGCTGTTCATCCTTCATAGAGCCTTTCCCAGCTCTGCTCCCATCCTAGTGAGCATTTTTGCAGTGTTGATCCAGGTCCCCTTAGCTCCTGGCCCAGATCTCAGTGTACATCACCACAAAGGCAGGCTTTCCTAGGCAATTCTACCCACTATGAAGGAGGACGAGCAGGAGGAAGGCTCAAGGGCTACAAGGGTTGCAGTTCCGTTGCTATCTGTGTCCCCTTGCACAAGTTACTCTCTTAGCCTTTATTTTGAAATCCATAAAGTGAACAGAATAATTATTTCCTTATAGATTTGTAGTAAAGGTACAACAGGCCATAGTATGTGGTACATTGTTGTTGTTAAGTCAAGTCCATTTCAATTCATAGTAACCCTGTATAGGGTTTCCAAGGAGCAGCTGGTGGGTTTGAACCATTGACCTTATGGTTAACAGTCCACTGCTTATCCTACAGTGCCACACCAGGACTCTGTGGTGCACAGTAGGTGTTCAATAAACAGTGTGTGCATGCCTGTCCACCCCTGAAATTGAAGCATGCCTGACCACACAGTGCCTTCATGTGAATTATCATTTAGAATGTGACCAATTAACCCATGAGATGGGACAAGCACCGTTGGGTCTACTTTAAGACCATTAAGCTCAGGAGCAAAGGGAATAGCATGGTAAACCTTGTTTTTGAAAACCCCCGACACACACCCATGTCCTGTCCACTCTCTGCATCAATATCCCACCCCAAGGGCTGCTGCAATGGCATTGGCCTGCATCTGGCAGTTCTGGGAAATGGGTAGCAGTGGGGGTCTTGGCCAGAAAGTGGACTGACTGTGGAAGATGGCAGGGTCTCTGCTCCTACTACCAGGCTGCTATTGCTTTTGTGGTTAGGGTCCCTGTCGCCAGGGTCCCTGTCAGAAGTGGGGAAAGACACACACCCTGGGCAGACAGGGGCTCCAGGCTCACAGGAAGTGTCAGAGCCCATGGGTTGGTGGGGTCCATGGGGTAGAAGGATGGACACAGGACTGGGAGGGAACCTTTGGCTGGGACACTGCTGCCTGCTGTGACTGCCTGCATATCAGGCCTTCTTTGGAAGACAACTTGATCCCAAAAAAAGTAGGCAGTCACGACCAATCGCTGGAATCCGTCATTTCCAGACACCAGAGCTGGGACTTAGGCCTCATCTAGGAATGGAAAGAGGAGGGGGCAGGGCCCTGGCGCGCCTATGTGTAGGAGCCCCACCTCCCACCGCTTTCTACCAGGTACCTGGCCAAGCTGTCATCCGTGGGGAGCATCTCGGAGGAGGAAACGTGTGAGAAGCTCAAGGGCCTGATCCAGAGGCAGGTGCAGATGTGCAAGCGGAACCTGGAGGTGATGGACTCCGTGCGCCGCGGCGCCCAGCTCGCAATTGAGGAGTGCCAGTACCAGTTTCGGAACCGGCGCTGGAACTGCTCCACACTCGACTCCCTGCCAGTTTTCGGCAAGGTGGTGACGCAAGGTGAGGGAAGACCAGGCATGGGGTCCCCGGGGGTGGCCGTGGTGCTGGAGGTGTGGTCCACCCAAGGAAACCACCGCTTCAATGAGTGAGGAATACGATGACAGTGAAACGTAAAAAGAATGTGTTCGTTGGAGCCTGGGGTAGAAGGACCCAGGCAGGAGCTGGGCTTGGGGGCTGAGGGCTTTTACTTGGGCAGCACTCTACCGAAAGACGTATGTTCAGTGTGAGCTTCATTTAGAGAGAAAATCACGGAGACTCAGACAGGGAAAGGACTTAATTGCCCACAATTCCTCAAAGAGTTCATAGCAAACTCAGGATTCCAACTAGGAGGAGATCTCCGGACCCCCAGTCCATTGCTGTTTCTACCTTAGCATTGTGCCTCAGGAAGCCCAGCCCATCTCGTTCATTTGAACATCTGACAAACCATATTGAGTAGTTCTACTGAACCCAGCCCTGAGACACAGGCATCACCAGAAGCCAGCTCTCACCCTCTCGGGGTCACAGCTCAGTGGGGGAGACAGATGGGAAAACAAATGCCATCGATCCAGTAGGAGTAGAAGCTTGCACATCTGTAGTACTACCTATGGATCAAACACTGTTTTAATAGTATTAACTCACCTAGCCTACTGCAATGAAGAAATTGAGGCACATAGTGATTAAGTAACTTGCCCAAGGTCACAGAGCTAGGAAGAAGCAGAACCAGGACTTGAGCTAAACAACCTAGCCTCATTGTCTGTGCTCTTACCTACAAAAGGGAAGTGCTGTAATGGAAGGGTATAAGAGCCTGGGGAAGCACAAAAGTGGATCCTTCGTCTCCTCAGTTGGGGTGATCAGCAGAGGCTCTTCAGAGGAGGGGCTCCCAACTAAGATCAGAAAGATGAGAAGGCATTAAGCCAAAGGAAGGTGGGCCAGGGCCTAGAAAACATTCCATGAAACCGGAAGGCTGCATGCTCATAAGAGAGTGCTCCAAACCAGCTGCCACTTCTTCTACTTTCTAAGCATGAAACTGACACTTCAGAGACACCAACAGTCGACAGGGTCCTCTGACTTGCTCAGGCAACAGGAAGAGGTTGTCTAGGCCAACCTTTGTCTTGGCACCTGTGGTCCTGGATGGCTTCAGCTGCTAGGCTGTGGCAAACCCTGTGGATGTTGTTGGAAACCAACTATGATAGAAATTTGGAAGCCATTCTCCTGGAAGCTGGCAGGAGCCAAAAAGGCATGATCATGCTTGGCATTGCTGACCATCGCTGTTCTGGAAGAGGTGAACAGCCTGGTGGTGAAGGGAAGGCTCTTCAAGGTGATGGTACCCACCACTGTGGACCCATGACTATCCGCTAAGTCCAGAATCCAGCCTCAAGTTACAGCCTGAGCTCGGGACAGTCCCCTCACACACAGTGGGTGTTCAGTGAGTGTTTGGGAAGGATTGGTGGATAAGTCAGCAGGATTTCTTCATAGGCCAGGCCCTTTCTCCCCTTCGTGGCTTAGTCCATGCTACGTCCTCTACCCCAAGTGCTCACACCCCTTCTCTGACCAGCCCAGCAGTACCCCCTCCACAAAGCTTTCGCAGGTCCTACAAGTTCCTTCACGGAGGTTCCCACAGCTAGTCTTGTCTTTTCTTTTTTTAAAAAATCAATTTTTGTTTCGATACAATATACAAAGTTTTGGGAAACATACAGCAAAGTGGCAAAAATACTGCAAGGAATCTCTGTACTTTTTATCCAGGTTCAATAATGGTTTGCATTTTTAACACATTTGCCTTATCCCTTGATCTCTATGTATTTACATACATTCACATGTTTTTTTCTAAGCCATATGTGTGCACACTGTTTTATCATTACATCTCTTATACTGACCAGGAATGCCTGTCTCCCCCTTTCCCCATCACTAAACCTTGGGCTCTTTCCCCCCCAGCACCAGGCAGGGGTTGGCATGGAGGACAGTTAGTGGATGTCATCTAATGACAGAAAGCAGGTCAGGACAAGAACTTGAAGGGACACAGAGGGGCTGTGTGGGTCAGTGCTGGCCTGAATCCACTGACCCTTCTCAAGACCCAGTAGAGAAGTGCCTGAGTTACCTGTAGGGGCAGGAGACAAGGAGGGAGTGCTCACACCTGGTCTTGCAAGAACTGGAGACATTGAGAATCCTACCTAGTGGCTTGGATAAGCATCCAGTCCCCTCAGAGCTGGCACCAGGCCAAACACACCAGGCAGATACCAGTTGTGTTTGGAGGAGTCTGAATCTCCCCTTTCCCCTGATGTTCCCATTCTTGTATTTTCTCTCTTGGTAAAATTCCTTTTGGAAAATTCTCTATTTTCCACTGAACAAAAGGAAAAGGGAAAGACAAGAGGAAAACTCCTGAGGCCTGAGGGCAAAGCACTGGCCTCAGAAAGTTCAGGGGTTGATGAGGAAGAACGAGCTCGGGCCGGTGACTTCACTCCTCAGAGCCTCAGAAGGTTGTCATGAAGCTCCTTGATCTGAGAGGAGCCATCAGTAATAACCGTGCGGTCCTCCTCATAGGTGGCTTCGACCCCTCAGCACTCTCACACCCCACCTAGCTTTAGGGGCTAGGAAGTTTGGCTGAAGCCCACATACATAAGCTGCCTGCCTGGGGTCATGGCCTCAGGCTGTGGAAGAGTGCAGAGCTAACAGGACCCTGGCTATAGTTAGAAAAGAGAAAAACAACCAATTATAGTTATCCTCTAGTCGACTCCAACTCATAGTGACCCCACGTGTGTCAGAGTAGAACTATACTCCATCCAATGCCTATGACTTCCTGGTCTTTTTCCCAGGATGCCTCTGGGTGAACTCAAACAGCAAACCTTTCAATTAGCAGATGAGCGCTTAACCACATAAGACACTCAAGCATTCCTCAGAGCGCCTGTTTGTCAAAGATCTACTATGTGCTGTCTGACACCAGATCCTCCTGTGGCTCCCGTGGTACACTGAGAAAGGAGGCTTCAATGAGCAGAGGGTGGTCACATGTCCACAACCTGCACCTGCCACCTCCTGGCTAGATCTTGGGCAATTTCTGTCCCCTCTCTTAAGTCTCACTGACCTCCTCCCTGTAAAAGGGGGACAATGGCAGGACCAGCCTCCTAGGATTCTAGTCACAATCTGGAAATGCTGCAAATGAGAGTCTCCCGGGGCCGGCTCCAAGACTGGCAGCATCCCAAGGTCTCGACCACCAGGTTCTACACTCCCTGAGTCCCTACAATGAAGCTACGGCCCATGGGTCCAAAACAGGTGGTGACGTAACGGTGAATGATGAGGACTCTGTGTCGTAGGCGGCCAAACTGTACTCTACACTGAAAATCTATCAGAACCCTAGTAGTGATGGAGTCTGGGGCAACGGAGGAAGGGGAAGGTAAGTACTTGACTGAGCAGGTACTCGGAGCAGATGAGGGATGGCTTTTATGTGTGCTAGGCACCTGACAACAACAACAACAGTCGCTGCTTGGCCTGGTGTGGCGGTGTGGGTTAATGCACCAGACTGCAAAGCCATTTGAACTGCAAGGTTGGCGGTTCAAGCTCACCAGCTGCTCCTTGAAAACCCTATACAGGGTCGCTATGGGTTGGAACCGACTCGATGGCACTTCACAACAACAACAGTCACTGCTTGGCTCCAGTGCCTTGACCTGCACATAGGAAGTCAGCAACAGATAGCTGCTGAATGGGTACAGAGGGTTTGAGGGTTTGAGGGTGGCATAAAGAGGACTGGACAAAAGTTCAAAGTCACAGGGAGCAGGTTATGCTGGGGTGTCAGAGTGGGCTACCCAAACAGGGCGGGAGAAGTGGGAAAACCACCTCTTGCTTCCCCATCTGTAATTAACAGCAGGCCTCCTTCTACCTCTCTCATGTCTTGCTCTGTGACTTTGATCAAGTCCCTACTCTAGAGAGGAAATTCAATGAGCCCATGTGTGGTGCTGTGGGCTAATGCGCCAGACTGCAAAGTCATTTGAACTGCAAAGTCAGTGGTTCAAGCTCACCAACTGCTCCTTGGAAACCCTATATAGGGTCGCTATGGGTCGGAATCGACTCGACGGCACTTAACAACAACAACAACATGCCCCCTTGGATCTGGGTGTGGCACTGTGGGATAAGCACTGAATGGCTTACTCACCAGCTACTCCTTGGAAACCTTATACAGAGTCACTAAGAGTCTGAACTGACTTGAAAGCACAAACAACAGCAACATGCTCTGTCAGCCTCGGGCTCTGAGGCCATAAAGGGAGGACCTGAAGCCCAGCCTGTCTGGATCTGTGGAGCTCAACCTTTCCACTCCCCATGCGCCTGACACCATCTTATGACACCTTTCTAAAATAACACCAGCTAGACTGCAGAAGTAAATGCTTTCCAGTTCTGGGTTACCACCCTCTAAAACCTGTGTTCTCACCTTTGTCATCAACTTGTCATCAGGTCAGACCCAATGAGGGTGAGAACACTCTTTGTTGCCACCAGATAAGTCACACACAAGAAGCCTGCTGGGGTAAAAGCAGGACAGAGATACCCCTGGCCTGGGATCTTCTTGAGTATTCGCCTCAGTGCCCCTAGTGCATGGGGCTGCACTTAGAGCATTAATGTTAAGTGACTTTCAGTCAGTTATGACTCGTAACAACTCTATGGGGTTTACAAGGAGCAGCTGGTAGGTTTGAATCACCAACCTCATAGTAACTAGTTCAGTACTTATGCTACAATGCCACACCAGGTTTCCTGCTCACAGTGTGTGATCAGCAAATGTTTAGTGAGGAAGTAAGCAAGCAAGCAAGGATGCTGCCCTGAGGAAATCAAAACAAAATTCCTCACCACTGGACCAATAAACAACATTCTTATCAACGGAGAAAAGATTGAAGTCAAGAAATCAAACAACGTATTGCATTAGGCAAATCTGCTGCACAAGACCTTTTTAAAGTGTTGAAGAGCAAAGTTGTAGAAAAATTGACACATTTGAGTTATGGTGTTGCAGGAGAATATTGAAATTGCCATGAACTGCCAAAAGAACC